AGAATAATGTAGGAAAAAGAATAAGAAGGTATTAAGTTCTTCGGATGGTACAGGTGCACTGGGATTTGTAATAGAATATCGAAAACTGCGTTACATTTATATTTCAAGCTTACAAACATCAACAACATAGTTTTTTCCACTTTTATCTTTTAAAATTGTAACTTCTCCTTATTGTTGCTTTCGTTTCTCTAAGCATACAGAATTATTACCACAAGTCTTCACTATTTTCTAATTATATATCCACTTGTGTCCTGAGATGCGACTGCGAATTATCAACGCCTTTCTTGTTTCTCGTCTTCTGTAAATATAAAGGGATCTTTAAACGATTCACTCGCACGACGAGAATTTATCAGTTTCATCGCTGGAACAACGATCTTTACACATGCTTCCTTTTTATATTTTCACTTTGATTATGAAAAATCATATAAATCATATAAAAATCATATAAATATATTCACGCGGATGCCACTAGATAAATAATTATATATATATATTTCTCTATAAAACGAAGCTATACAAACTATTTTGCCGTTTTATATTGTATTCTGCATAGATATATATACATATACATACAATCATGTGCATATGTATATGTATAAAAAGAAAAGAATATTCTGTACAACGATACACAGCGATTCACAGTATAAAACGACTACGTGTTACGCCCAGGACACAAGCCGTCTCTAATTATTCTATAGATTAATAACAATGATATCCTGTATCCGAACATTACGTTTATAATAATATGTATCACATATAGGTATTTCATGTTCATTATATCAACAATAGGGGAGTTGAATTAAAAAAAAAGGCTACCGTTCACTTATTAGAAATTTATTTTCTCTCATTCTCTTTTTCTCTCTCTCTTTCTTTTTTCTCTTGCTTCTGATTTAATAATGATCTTATGCGTGTGTATTATTCACGTTTGATTTGAAAAAAAACAAAGAGATTATTTTTTAAATCCTTTTTCATTTTTCTTAAACAATGTAATATTTTTTTTATGCCTTTTCAGAGCGATTAACAAAAAAAACCTCATGGTGATACAATATTTATACGCAATTCTTTTATGGAACCATTTTTTGTTATCTTCTTTAAGCATTTTTTCAAGTTCTCTTTTAACCCTTTCATTCTCATAATAATCTTAATAAATATTTAGTCCAGCCAAAAATTATAAATAGATTTTTCTTTATTTTTTTAAACAATCTCTGTTTAAAATTCTGTTTCTAAATGTCAAAATGTATGAATTGTTTCTTAGACTTGTTTAATAGACACAATCAAATTTTTGGCTGTTATTTAGGAATGAAAGAATTAAAGAGAAAGAAATATCAAACATTCACGTATGTCATTAAAGATTTAAGCGAAATTATTCGTTTAAACCGTGAATGAAATTTATTAGATAACGAGACCCCGCATATTTAATATATGTATTTATGTATCTTTGATATATAACACGTACAGAAATTATATACATCGTTTTCTCACGTTCCAAGAGGAAACATAAAATAGTATCGCGTAAAACGCGTAATTTTGAACTATATTGTAACGATTCTTAACATCATGTTAATCAACATGACTATCAAATCGTCTTAACAAATTTACACAATCTCTATTTATCTCTTTTATCTCTGATTGTTGACAATATTTATTATGCGTGAAAAAGTGAAATAATGCTTTCTTTTTATTTTATTTTCGCATATTTTCCAGAGCTTCCTGTGATTTGTAATTTATTGTAATTAAAAAAGAAAAAAGGAAAAAAATAGGAAATATATTAATTCCCTATTCAAATAGAAAAGATATCATAACGATCTTTCGATGCAGAATCAAATGAAATAAATGACTTTCAAACGGATACACACGGAAGTTCTGTTCAAACTTTCCCTTATTTCTCTCACTCTTTCTCAATCTTTTTTCCCTTCGTCTAAAATCTCGGGACACATTTTACAGCCCTTTTAATTGAACTCTCTAATATTATTGATAACAAGTTAATCATATATACATATATAGTTTAGACATCGGCCGTCGTAAGCGCAATAAAGACGTTTAAAGAACGCTCGTGAAAATTAAACGGCACATTTAAAAACCGATCCATCTTTCTTCTCTTATTTTCACTTATTTTTTTTTTTAATCGTTTTCTTTTTTCTTTTTTTAATCGCTGGTACCAAAAAACACGCGTTCAATATATATTTATACATACGTATATATATTAATTACCTTTTTTTTCTCCGTTTAATTATTGTAAGCTTTGAGCTTGGGCCTGCCTGCCCACACGTGTTAAAACTTACTATATTATACACAGACGAAAACAATATTACATATCATAGCAAAACGCTTTTACAGAATATGTGCTCACGGTCCTTGGAATCATAATGATTTACATCTTCACTTTCAGAGGGATGATGAGAACAGAGGAAAATCCTAATCTGATGCTTGTTACACGATCAATTGATCACTGTTATTCGTTCTTTCGATTCGATCCCCATTGAGAATCACGTATATCATGTTGGTATCGAAACTTGTTCGAAAGAAAATCGACATCACGATCTTCTTTCGAGCTTTTTGACTAGAATCGAGAGCAATCTTTAATCGTCTTATCTTTAAAATATTTGACTCGACGCTTGTTCGCACTAATCCTTTAGGAAAATGAATTCTTCAAGGAACTCTATTTCCTTTATTCGATATGCAACATGATGCAAATTGATATTAGGATTAAGAAGATGAAAATAAAGAATAAGAAGAGTCAAAGAGAAGAAGAACGGAGACCGTGAGCACGTGTCACGAATCGTGTCACACGTTTTCTCTTTCTTAAGTTTCTAAGGAGGTTAAAAACCTTGTTTTACAAGCTTATCGATTACACAACTTCGACGAGACATCAGCTAAGGAAAAGAAAAACGCAAGCGTTCATTGGCGAATGAATAAAATAACGATAAAAAGAAAAAAGGAAGAAGCGAAGTGAAACGAAGAGGAAAAAGGATCGAGGAACATTACACAACATATAAAATCGTTTACAAGTTATCATGGATTGAAAGTAATACCAGTTTGTCAACATGCTTTGCTTCAATAGTAAATACGTTCGTACGATATTATGTACAACGATGGAAGTAATATAGTGAGATTGTAATTTAAAGGATTAATTGATGATTCAGATGATTGATGTAACCGTATTTAGTAAGCATTTTATAAAAATGTCACAGAGTATAAGTTATTTATGAATCATTATTAATTTAAAATTATGATGATTATAATGGCAGTTTAAAATCTTGAAACAAATGTTGTAATAGAATGATAAATATGTGTAATTAAAATATATTATTTTCGATTATTATCCAAGTCAACAATATGTTAAATTACTCTTTTGATTTTTAAAATATAATGTTTGATTAACTTTTATAATCTCACTATATCATACAACCATACCACTATATGAACATTTAATCTTTGTGTTTATAGTCACATTTCCGGTATGTTGTTCCGGAAGTGCTTTTTCCGCGCTTAATTCGTAACTGAATTTTCAATCACAGTCTCCACCAATACGTCTCAATTCGGTGTTCAATCAAATTCGCTGTTTTATTGACTTTAGTACGTTATTATTTTTGGCATTTGATCAAAATTATTGAAACTATCGAAACAACAAGGAACATTAATAAGAGACATCATTTGAGGCGCTTGTGATAGAGAAATAACATTATTGTGCAAAACTATGAAGCAACATTCTTAAATGCTTTTTTCAAATTGTAGAACGATACATATATAAGATGTTTTTTTTTTTTTTTGCAAAATGTACTAATATGTTCCATGAGTAAAAATTAAAAAAGAAAGATATCTAAACACGAACTGATGAAATATTTTATTAAAAAATTATAAATAGATATACATTGGATTTCTTTTTTAATTAGAATTTTATCTAATGAACAAATAGACACAAATTTATGTTATCATATTTCAACATCTATTTTTTATCATTTCAATAAATGTATTTAAAAAAATCTTTGTTACTTAATATTTCTTGTTACAACCGTTTAACAAAACATTTATGAATCTACATTTACATAACATCTTTTTATTTTTACTCATAGAATATTCTATTACCTTTTTGAGAAAGAAATATAGGATATTTTGTATATACATGATATTTATATATACATATGCATTTATATGTATACATATAGAAATATATACATACATCGTATGGCAGGTTCAATTGCTGAATAACGATTCAGCATATGCTCTATGAAGCTGAGGCAGTTAATATCGTGTGTATACGTGTGCGCGTAACAACGTCTCTTTGTTGGCTTTTCATCGTTACGTGTCCTGATAGCACAGTTTCTTTCGTTCAAACTTCTCACGTTTACCGCGTTCTTATTTTCCCGTGATAATGCGTACTCTGTGCTGAAAACTAGGACGGGTTGAAAAGTCTTTCTCGAGGGTTGCGAATAAACGTTGATTGATTACCAGAGATCTCTTTTTGCCTGATTGACTTGCCTGTGTTCGATTAATTTTCCATCTTATTTTTCATGACACAATTCAGAATTCGTTGATTTCTTTTTATTAAATAGAAAGAACTGTCATTCAATGTAATAATTATTATTCCAAAATTATACAAAAGTTACAAAAATATTGCAAAAAATAACAAATATTCAATTACTCTGAACAATGCACATACAACATAACATTTTATAATAATAATCTTATTAATTTATACATGTTTTAATTAAATCAATCAAATATTAATTGAAATTTATAGAAATATATATACAAATATAAAAAAAATAATAATAATTCATGGTTATTACAATTTCATTCAAAGTTTTGTCAAATTGGAAATTTTATAATTTATGCCATTTTTTTTTTTTAAATTCTTTAACTTTCTCAGTCATATATATATCTTACAATATAATTGTTGCCAGCAATTTCTTCTTTATCGCCCTCATTTCCACCTTCGAATTCATTCTTCTTAAAACAGTTTAATCCGCCTCGCGTTAAAGAACTAAATGAAAACTAAACTAAAGCTGAACTAAATTCGATCCAAACTCTATCTAGGACATTGTCACGTACACACGTTGTCTCACAATATAACGCAAAGTACCTCACGCTACTTTTTAAGTTAACTATCTCGCGAGGAGTTTGCACAAAATGGGATATTGCTCTCAGGCGTTTAAAGATGTAGGACTACGAGTTGTACAGTTCGATACTCGTTACAAACTAATTGCAGACTAGCAAAGAACAGGGATAAGGAAATATGTGTACTATGATTCGTGTATGCAAATATGTATGCACGTGTATGTATATGGATACAGGAAAAATTTTACTGTTTTTACATTGGCAAAACGTAAAATCGCCACTGTTTGGTAAGGCGTTTCATTTCATATATCATATTTTTTTTTCTTTTTTATATATGTATATATTTATTACATAGAATGCCTGCGTTCTAAAGTCTTTCTTTTTTTTTAATTTATTGAAACAATAATCAAGTAAATGATTCTTTCCTTTTTTTTCTCTCTCTATTTCTTCTTTCTGTATTTCTGTTTTCGTTTTTTCGATTTGGCATTAGGCAGTCAACGCGACGCATTTACATATATGTCGCTGGAAATGATGAACTACAAATTGTTTTGTTGTTTCTTATTTTTTCTTCATTTCCTTTGCAGTTAGATAAAAAAGGAAGAAATCGAAAAGTACGTTACATGCAAATTATATTTAGTCATATATTTTCTTTTCAATTTTCCTAAGACAATATTAATTATTCGTTAGTTTCTATCGTTTCTCATGATATGACTCTTTTTTCTTTTTTTTCTTTTTTTTTTTAAGAACAAGAAGAATTATAAAATAATCGACTCATAACTCGCTTAATGGGTCGTTGATTTGTAACAATAAGAAGGAATAATTAATAAAAATAATAATAAAAACAAAGAGGAAAACGCACCACGAATATTTTGATTATGTTTTTCACATTTTTTTTTTTTTTCAGTTGTTTTTCATCTTAATATTACGAGGGAAACATAGTCATTCGATACTTTTCTTTTTAATATCTTTGTTTATGTCTTTATGAATAATTTCTATTATTTATTCACTTTCTCACACTTTTTCTTTCCCTAACTTCTAAATAATAATACGTAAATGAGTATACTGTATATTATATCGAAGAGTCAGGAGTCAGAAAATTGTCTCTAACGGGAATAAAATATTTAAATGATAAAGTCTGAAAATAGAGTATTTAAACTAGAGCAGCCTGGGGCTAAAAATCTATAAAATGGAATACAAAAAATATTTCGAAATCTTAAACGAGAAAAGGAGTATAATAATTATGAGCTATTCATCATTGTGTCATCATCGTCATCGTCGTATTATCTTTTTTTTTTCTTTTCCACTTCTCTTTTATTTCCCTTTATTTATTTTCAAAGAAGATTTTTCCCTTCGATTATTCTCGTTTAAATCAGCGAAATCACTATACACAGTCATCTTTCTCTAAACAACATGTTTGTGCGCTAAGAGAAATGTTTGCCTGTATCACAGACTTTTTTTCAATAACGTCGCTCTATGCTCCATTGCTATATGCGATCGTATATATAATATATATATATATATATGTATATAGAATACACGTTAATTAAATAAATACATAATTTAACGTTTAATCTTTGCTCGCTACCTTGCGATTCAGACGAAGATCTATATTAGCAAATATGTATATATATGTATTTCGACTTGCAGCGAAATCGATCGATTTTTCTATTCTCGTCCTTTATAAAATCCTATATATACACGCGTCGACGGGAGGGAATTAGGGGAGATGGATCTGATTCGAACGAATCCTTTATATTAATCGTTACAATACGATTCATACATGTTTTCCCCTTTTTAAGAAAAATCGATTATCGTATCAGACGTGTATGCTTCTGCTTTTAGATATCATGTTCAAAAAGACATGTTTCCATTACTACGTTTGTGGCATTCCCATAACCAACGAAATCCATTATCGAATTATCTATATTAATTCTAATACGATATGTGTTAACCATGCCTACCACTGTTTCAATACACTTCAGTTTGAAGTAACAATTGCTACTCGCGTACTCTTGGCAATTTTTACGCAAGAAGAATTTTTTTTTGTTTGGAGATTAAAACAAGAGAATTTTTTTTTTTTTTTTTGAAAAATAAATTTCAGATTTTGATTGGAAATAAAAAGAAACAGTAGTTAGAGTGTAATCGAAGGATAAAGAGAGACAATGTTAATTGGTAGAGAATAATTAAACTCGGAACGAAAGGCAGCATTCAAATACTTGCCTGAATTAGCTCCAACGACTTCCGGTTTTAAAGTAGCAGATTGTCCACAGTATAAACTTGAATTCTATCGCACTATGTCTCTTTATTGTGATTTTTTTTTTTTTTCTTTCAATTTCGAGGATTTGATGGTTATCGGGTATTGCGCGATAAGCTAAGCTGATGATCCTAATTGGCAATATCCATGAACACAAACGAAATCTGGCAAAACGTCTGGCCTCTGACGGAAACGAGGAAAATATTTACGTGGTGTTGGGGTTCTGCTGCTGAGGACTGTACTCCAACATGGCTATCGGGAACGTCTTGATGTGCGTTTGCCACTGCGCCGACAGTTGGAAGAATTTCACACCGTACCATTCGGTACCATCAATACTCACTAAAGAAAAATAAGGTTATTCGTTTGATTTAATGTTAAATACTTGATACATTTACATGATACATTTTTTTATGAATATTTTCAAATTTTTGTAATAATTAAAAAAAAAAAAAAAAGGAAATAAAAATCTAGAATATTTAAAATAGAGAATTAATGAATATATTATAAATTAACGATATTCATTGTAAATATTTGTGAATATTTAATTAGAATTTCTATTGTTATTTAAATAAAAATATTGATATTTAAAAGACTTCAACTTCTTTTCATAATTTTTCACAATATGAAATTTTCACACATTCTATACAATCGTAATAGCCTTAGAGAACTAGAATATCTTATTACCTCTTAATGGAATGTTGTGAGTCTTCGCAGAGCATATAAGTCGTGTCACGCCTTCGACCGTTTGACTCTTTGGCTCGTTTTCTTTTTCTTTTTCTTTCTTTTTGCCCAATCTCATTACTGTAAATTAAATAGACAACATTTGTTAATAAATATCGTAATAATTATCAGAAAAGATTAAAATATATGTAATTTAAATACTTTAATAAAGTTGAAAAATCATAACGATAAGTTTATTTCTTTAACATAATATTAATGTGGATCATAAAACAAGAAGAAATTTCATTAAAAGTAATTTTAAAACACAGAGATTATGTGCAATTATAAATTCAAATTTAATTTTTTTACATGAAATATAATATTTAATATTCTAAATAAAATATAACAAAATTTCATTGCAAAATTAATATATGTATTATGCTAAAAAAATTATATATTATAAATAAAATATATTAATACATAACAATATAAATGATTTATTTTCAATCAAATTTTATAATCAAATTTTATAAAGTATGCTAATATTTTTGTAAATGATTGTATTTTCATTTCGACAAGTTAACATATTCCTTTTTACCATACAGTCAAATGTTAAAACTTTAAGCCAATACAAAGTAACTTTCAAAGGCTTCATTGAAATAAAGATTAAATATAACTTTCCACATACTTTTTTGTTTTTTCTCCTTTGTTGTGTAATTCATGGATAAATAATGACCAGGAGTCTCTCCATGAGGCGGAAGTCTTTGAACGTGCAACGCCCTGAACGCCTGTCTCAATGTATTCTTGCCCTTTTCACCCTGTGTATGTTTGCTCCAATAATCGAGTTGTAACTCAACCGGTTCCCAGCCTTCCCTCGTCGGTTGACCAACGTTCGGACTACTGGGTGGTGTTAATCTACCCGGAAGTGGAATAGGTAATCCAGGAGGTGGCAGAGAAGGCGGTGAGCCAGACATGGTTACATTGCTCTCTTCTAGATCGACCGATGCGGAGGAACTACTATCCGGACATCCCACGCGAACATCGTTTATGAATGGGATGAAGATTTGGCTGCTATCGTCTGTTTCTCTGTGAAATTAAAGCGAAACGCCGTTTATTAACGTAACGAGACTGCGTCTCTTGTTTAAAATTAAAGCTTCCTGTTTCCTGTTTACACTATTTTGATTTATTCTAGTCTAGAATTTCACGTTGGCTATTAATGAAAAATAGAACTGCTCATTTGGAATTTTTATAAAAATAAAACAAAGAAAGAAGTTCCTTTTTTTTCCTTATAAAAAGATAATAATTTTCTTTTTTATCCTTTAATTAAAAATTTAAAAATCAACACAATTTCGATACGATAAAATGGATAATTTATTAATATAAAAATGACAATTATTACTTTATTATTATATAATTCTGTTATAATAATAATTATATTATTAAATTGCTTTAATTATATTTTATGTAATTATTATATTGGAAATTTATCAGATAAAATCAAAATACATATTATACGAAATATCGTACCTGTATGTAACCATGGCTTCTGCAATAGGTAGCAACAAGGTTGTACCAGCCGTTGCCAAATACTCGGAAACCCTAGCCGCACCCTCGCTTGCGCCACCACCCTCTCTTTCCAACAATTCTTTCCACTCGTCGCCAAATAACATCGAGTATTTTGCATCTATTGAGCTAAGGTACTTAGACAATGTATTCGAACCAAGAGGTACGACGAAGAATTTCAGATAATTCTGCGGTCGAAAACTTAACTGATCCACGTAGTGGCGAAGCACTGCGTTTATGAAACTATCTCCACCAGCGATCACTACTTTGATCGGTGCTGGTGGTTTAGCGGAACTGTTACAACTAAAAATAAAAATATATTTTTTGGTTATTAACTTAAAAAAATGACGAGATTAAATATAAAAATTAAAAATAATTTTTCATGATTCTACATTAAAAAGAAATTTAAATTGTTATTGGTTAAAAAGGCTATATAACTCTACAGTGACATCTATGATATGAGCATGAACTACGATTCAATTAATTACTTAAGATTTTCCTACATTTTCATGTAATTTTCTTTTTAAATAGAAAGAAACTAATTACAATTTTTGTATTCGCGTGACCAAACACGTGAATGTGGCACGAATGTCTGCTGGAGAAGCTGTCGTCAGAACTCTGTGATTCCTTTCTTGAAGTCTCGTAGCTAGAACAGCCGCACCTGGATCAGCTAACGATACCAACGACACAGCATCCGGCAAACTGTCATCCGGTAAAACCCGGCTTAATTGCTCAACCAACGCTTTTCTTGGCTGGAAATGATACGTGCTCCAGTTTAATATGCGTTCATCTTGATATATAAACGATACGTTTCAAAATCATTATTTCAAGAGATCACATTCCATTTCTATATTGATGGAATATGAATTTAATATCGAAAAAAATAAAGATAATTGACTATTGCATATCAGTTATATTAAATTATAATGAAATTCAAACTATTATATAAAATCATATATTCAAACTAGATTAGATGATTTTCAAATATCTTAAATTATTGTACAGAATGAATGATTAAGAAGAGAATTAAGTTAGATCTAATAGCATAAATGAAATATTCATGTTATAGGATACACAGGATATTAATATATTCATGAGACATCTTTGAAAGTTGATTTTAGAGGCGAAAATAAACAAAAATGTTGATTGAAATTCATTTATTAAGTTACGAGCAATTAAAATTTGCATTAAATGAAGAAAGACATGCTTTATCTAACGCAAATTTAAATATAACTTTCAATGAATATATTAACATCTTGTATATTATAAATTCATCTAAAAAGATAGAATTATACATTATAAAATCAGAATTCTCATTATCTCTCCAAACATAGATCTATCTTAAGAAGATCTATCAAAAAATGCTGAAGACTAATAAATTAGCAAAACAAAATTCCAACCAATTAGCAAAACTATCATACCTCGGAACTATTCAAGTCAGCTGGAGGTTTCAGATCCACGCTGAGGCTATGCTTTTTAGATTTGTTGGTACCTGGTGCACCTCTGTCACGGGTAAAAAGCCTGCTTCTTTTGTCGGAGCTCTCGGTCTTGTTGTGCTGCTCTGATTTCGGTGGCGAACCCGTCACATAATTCGGAGGATCGTTCGCCTCGTGATCTGTCCAATTCTCCGGATGTGAATCGCTGTCCGCTCTTCGGGAACTATCGTCACTTTGCCTATCCACTCCGCGCTCTGTAACGAAATTTCATTACTTTTCGTGTCGTTGTGTACCACATCTGGAGATCGTATGTATTACTGAGCGTAAGTTTGAGACCATATATTTCGTTTTTCGTTTTAAAGAGCAAAGGGCGTAAGAAGAATATTATAGAAATATATCTTATTTTACAATAAAATAATAACAACATATAAGTAAACCAATAATTAATAATTTGATTTCGATTAATCCTTAAATTCAATATTCCGATTAAATATGTATATATTTAGAAATTTCCAGAAACGAATATTATTGGAAAGTATATTACAAATCAAAAGTTTGAAATCACTTTGTCTGTTTTAGATGTAATAAGTCTAATTTTGTTATTAATTCGCAATATTAACGTTATTGATATTCACAAAAATTTTTCTTAGATTGATAAGATTTTGATTTTTTTTTTTTTTCTTCTTTAATTATTGAATTGTAATGAACGCACGATGATCCCAAACTTTTGACAGGCAGTATACATTCCAACTACCTGCGATTTCGGGAAATCCCGAAATAAATATACACCTTAATACTAAGCAGGATCGATGAGATTTTGACTGTTAAGTCACTTAATCTTAAAGTATTTATATTCTTTACATGGAATATAAACTAAAATAAGCAATATAATGTAATATGATTAATCGATTGAATTTAAGGATCATCGTAATCAAAATAAAATTATTAATTAAGTTAAATATGTGTATATTTTGCTATTATAAATGCAATTAATTAAAATTCTTGAATGATTTATTTTCCAATTATAAAGTAATGTATCAGAAAGATACATTAATTATTAATTTTAATATTGATAAAATTTTATTTAAATTTCGTAATAATATTTTCCATGAAAATTCTGTTTCACAAAGGAACAATATAATAATTAAACCGATAATGTAACCACAAAAGTGAACAAATTTCAACTAGAATAATTTCTCTATAAAAAAGAAATAAATTAAAACAAAATTTTATCTTGTTATTTCAAAAAGAATAAAGTAAACACAGTAATGAAATACGCAGTAGAAACTTCTGCAATTAAAACTAGTGTTATTAAAAAAAAGAATTTAAAAATGTAATTATCTTAATGTTTCTCTTTTTTATCGTCAAGTCTATTTAACAAGACATTAAAAAAGAAACTTATTTAATTTATAATAATTGTATTGTAATGTTCGTTTAACAAAAATTTATTCTTCTCTTTAGAATAAAAAAATTGTAGATAAGTGTGTTAAATATGATGGAATCTATCGTTTATAAAATTAAATATTTTTATTCGAAACACTTTGCATTTTAATTTTGTTTCATTCATAAATTATGACGATGATGATATCTTGCGCTATTATTATTTTTGTGATAAAACATTTTCCTTTAATATCTTTAATACCTGTGATGATTATAATTCTTCACTACTTTTTAAATACATATACTTATGTGCATATTTACATTACATATCTACATTATGTACATATCTAATGAAAATAGAAAAGTAATATAAAGTATATCATTTGATTAAAATTTGACAAAGTCATTTTTGTTATAAATTCTTCAAGTATCAATTGAAAAAAAATATATATCACATTATAAAATTCTATTCTGGAATTCTTTGATAAAATTATTATTCTTATCTTTAAGTACGGTATTCTTTAAACATCATAATTTTACAAATTATAAATAATAAAAAAAAAAAATTTTCAGTCCATATTCTTCATATTCACTAACAACTGAATTTAAACAAACCAATTTGCTCTCAATTCAATAATTACGGTCTCAACTTTACGATCGATAATGTACGCAGCAATCGGATGATCGATTAACTCGCAGAGAAATAAAGACACACAGAAAAGAAGATAGAGTGATAGAAAGAAAGAGAGAAAGAGATAGAGAAACGAAGCCTATAACGCGTTTAAATGAATACATTAATGTACTCTATGCGTTTAATTGATCGACGCAATGGTTCGATTGGATACATTATGTATATAGAATGTTCTAAAAGAAAATCAAATAGTTTTATCGGAGTATTTTTTAAATCATTCCGAAAGATTATATGATATTTTGATTCATTGTCTTTTAATCTAGAAAAATAGAGATTCTATAAATACATATTAATAAATAATATAATTAGAATAATTGAAGTCATGATAAACAAAAAGAGATAAAAAAAATGAATTGAAAATATAAAATAAGATTTTTAAAAAAGACTAGAAAAAGATTATTTCAAAAACAAAAACTTATCAAAAGCTATAATACATATAAACTTTGTGATTCAGATGGTAGAACATTTTAATAAATTTATTAGATTCTTTTCGTGGAATATAATATATAAGTAATACATATAAGAATATGTGAAAGAACTTATTAAAATGTATTAATATCATATTGCGCGCAAAATGCAATGGATAACAGGTATTTGTGATCATAGCAGTCGAATATGTCTTTATATTTTCATTTTTATATTAATAAGTCTCGAGAATAACTCGTACTCGCACTGATTAATCGATACAACAATCAGAGAAAATAAAAATAAAGACTTATTAAAAAGATAAATATATATATATATATATATTGTAAAGTTTATAGTATAAAAAAGATAGATACGTACGTATAGGTAGATAGAGAGAGGCAGAAAGAGAGAGGCCAGCGGATTTTGATGTTAAGTTGCTTTTGATTTTGTTCAAGTTTACTACGTATAAAAAGGCATATAACAGGCACACAAACACACGATATATATGTAATTCTTCTATAAATGCAGAACGATCGAGAGAAACTGAATTCCGTTTCAAAGTGTTGCAGAAGCAAAAATAAACACAAAAGAAATCAGATGCCAGATAAATATTTATTTTTATTGAATTTTCTTACAAATATATTTTATCTTATTTATTTTAACATTTATATACTGGGATAGAAAATGTATTTTCTTTTTTAATTTGATAGCTACATAAGGATAATAGAAATGTATAAAAATAAACATTAAAGATTTTATTTTAAAATTCATAATTATTTAAACCTTCTACTTTTATTATTCATCAATCATAATTTTTTATTGAAATTCACATTTGAAATATATTATTATAAATCAAAAATTTGACGAATAAATTGTTTAAGAATAATTTATTTTTCTATTAAATTTCTTCATTTTGAAATCTATTTCCAAACATTTTATTTTCAAATATTTTAATTTTATTTCAAATAATTATTTATTTTTTTATTTTCTTTGTCCTTTTTTTCTCTATTTATTCTTTTTAATTTTAAATAAAAATTCTACTAAGAAATAATTTCAATATATTTTATTCAACAAAGTTTATTAAAAAATAAGAGAAAAATATAAAATACAATACAAAAATTGAAAACTGTTTCAACTTCGATTATCCTTGTATTAAATAGCTCAAGTTTATTAATGTTATAAAGAGATCATGAAAGATGATCTATTCTTGATCATACTTACAATGAGAAATACATGAGATTGAACATCGAATCGAATTGAAAATTCATTATTAAGAACAATCTATCGTAAAACTATGAGGCATCTAATTACCAATTTTTATATCTTTGATCTCGAAACACCAAGCTTCTGCTGATTAGCAAGAGGTCATTCATGCGCTGGAGTTCCTTCTCCAATCTACAAAATTGCGTATATCGCGATATGTATTTCAGTCTCTTTCCTGGCTAAATTATTTAGTTAAATACTCGAATGATTATTAATAATTATAAGTGAACTTTTTTATTTTCTTTTATCTTCAAAACTAACGATATTAAGAAAACTAAATTTTCTATATTTTATTAGAATATTTCAAATGAATTTCTTGATGCTTGGAAACTCGTTAGATATATTAAATAACAGAAATCTAATTATATATATTTTAATAAAATTTTATTGAAGAAAATAATAAATATATTATTTCATTAATTATTATTTAAAAGAATTCAAAAATATGCAAAAGAAAAAAAAGATAATATATTAATAAAATACAAAAAAAATCTAATATTTTAAAAAAAGTAAAAATTAAATATTTAATCAAAAATAAAAAAATATATATACGTAAATATAAAATAGAATATAAATAGAAAACGTTATAATTATAAATATCAATTATTTAAGTATATTATTATTATATTATTCTATTATATAAAATTCTCAATTAATTTTATCTTATTGCATAAGTTATAAAAAATATCCTTATACATTTATTTCAATTTCCAAGCATCATTTTTAAAATCTTTTACAATACAAAGTATAAAAAAAAAAGAATAAAATAAATAAAAAATGTACAATTAATTATTTCGAATCTATATATTTTCCAACAAGCAAAAAACCGTCACAAGGAAGGGAAATCTCGATAAAAGAATAAAATATATCATGCTATAAATTCACGCAGCCATGCTTGTTACCAAAGAAGCAGATAAAAAAAAAAAAAAGAAAAAGAAGAAAAAAATAGAAAAAAAATAAAAGAGGAAAAAAAATTATCTAAAGCTAACTTATCCTTTTAAATCATGATGATCTGGTGGTGTGCCTTTACATACCTGGAGTAGTATGTCCGATACGATGTTTCTCTTTAGCTGGCTGACCTGCACTCTGTTGACCTATGGCTGTCGCAGGAGTACTTCCGGTCTCCTCGTTGGTTACTACTACCGAATCGTAACATGCAACAATGCAAAGCCAACGCACCAGACTTTCACTTAGTTAAACAGATCTGAATCCATATTGGCAACGAAACGTTTATATCTATGTTTTATTTAACAGCTTATGCTATATTCTTTTATTTCCATTATTATCGTGTGTAATATGTGACGAAGTTATATTGTTATTGCATCCGTGTGAAATGAATTGCAAAGCATCGCAAATTTATGATAAATTTATAATAATGTTAATAAAGATCCTTTAACATTCAAATTTGAATTCAAATGCTTAAAAAAGAAAATTTATGAAAGTTTTGATATATACTTTATTTTCATACGTTAAATTATAATCATACAATTAAATCAATCAAATTGTATCATACAATTAAATTGTAAGATATATTTTATTTAAAGTTGTAATGTATAATGTATAATGGATTCTCATGTATTTGATATTACAAATTTTTAGTTGAGATTTTTAAATAACTCCATTATACATTTGATTGTGCTAATATTTGTAATTATTACAATAAAGAAATAAGAAATTAATTAAATAAATTATAATTAAATTTGTATTGAAAATTGAATATTTGGTAATATATAATATATAATATCGAAACAAATATTTAAATTTTTTTTGTAGATTAAGTTAAATTTTATAAATAAATATTAAATGAAATTAATATAACAACTTTTACGTCATGATATATAATGACATATAAATCCAATTACAGATTTTATTCATATTATTCTTATTCATATTTAAAACTTATTCCATTAGTTTTTAAAAAAAAAAAGTAGATTAAATTATGAAAGGAACTTTATTTTCTTCGAACAATACTTGGTCACTAGCTTTCATTTAATCCTACAAAAACTGGATGAGCTCAAGTGTAAAATCCTATTATATTCAACGGATTTATCTCTATATTCTCTACATTTTCCACTTTAACAATTTTCCATATAACCCTATTTTTCTATTTAATAAGCAAATCGATATTTCAGATATCCAAGTTTTAATAATTGCAGAAATTAAAAAAAAATAAATGTTATTCTATTTTTTCAATCAATTAAATTATTAATTTTTTCAAAAAATAGATATAAATTTTATTAATACATTATATATAAAGTAAAATTATTATTATTATAAAATCTTATTTTAATTATAAAATCTGCAAAACTTTCAAACTAATCCTCTCAATAAAAGAAAATCATCTAAAAGAATAATGAATTGTAAATGTAAGTAATAATTGTATTAAATATAAATGAAATTTTTATTAGTCGTTCAAAAATGTGAAAATTTCGTGATATCTTGAAATAAATCATTAAATTTATATCTTGAAAAAGATAGAATTTACGTATATAGAAAGTATAATAGAAATCAGAACGCATAAGAATAAATATTTCTGAGGTATTTCTAGAAAACAAAGAGACTCAATATAACAGAGGAGTACGATTACCATTTCAATCTTGAGTTATTGTATGCAGAACTAATCAATACAGAATGAAAAATTTTTCTTTTTATTTTGTCTATTTTTTTTAATATATAGTTTCAATAGCGTGATATTCTTATTGAAAAAGAGGAAGATATACAACTTAAAATGCGATAAATGTACATATAACGAAATAGCAAATAGCTATACAATGCTGCAAAATATCAAATATGGCCAAATGAAAAAAAAGAAAATTTTTGAATACACTTTCTACAAATATTGAAAATTAATTTTTTAATTTAACTCTTCTCTGTAATGTTGGCAAGTCTCATTATATTAAATTAATGATTACAATTAATATATAATATTAATAAAAATTATTATTATAAAAATTAAATACAATATTTCTATTCTTCAATTCTAATAATATACAAGCAATGAACATCTAAATCTTGTATATAATAACTATGATATTAATTAAAAGTTTCTAGTTTCACTAATAATATTTTCTACAAACTTTTCATTAATTCAAACTAATATTACATATATTAATAATGATATATTCTAAAAATAAAATTAAAATAAAAATAATGGTATATCTTTTATGCTAATATCATTCTTATAAAAATTCTGAAAATACAACTTAATATATATAACAATACAAAAATATTTGAATTAAACATCAACAACTACAGTATCTTTCTCGATGAAAATAAATAAGTTTTCACTTTTGATTTGTAGAAAGTGTTTATATTTTTCAATTGCACAGAGTACTTCTTTTTCTTTCTAGCAAAAGCAAATTGAAAGATGTAACACTCGTCAAATGATACGATATAATGTTCCTTACCGTGTGCAATTTATTTCGACAGAAGGAATAATTAGACCGATTTCTAAAATGGTCATAATGTTATTACACTTCTTTCGTTTTTTCTTCCTCTTCGTTACATCGCAATGGTTACACCGTACGAAGCATTGCAAACATTCGTATTTGCCAATCAAGATTCACGTGTTACAAAATCTACTCAACGATATAACAGAAGCAAGTTCACTTACCAGAATGAGGAGGAGCGAGGAGAGATCGACTAGAACTGAAGAAAGGTCGAAGGGATGGCTTGGGTGTGCTACTGACCGACATGGTGTCCAATTCTGGACCACTGTCGGACAAATCTTCCAGTTCATCGAACAGTTCTTCGATTTCCATCTCTGCGCCTTTAACAAATCCAGTTAACGACTCTATAAAATAATGAATAAGAATGTTCGTGAAACATGTGTATTTCTTTAGAATTTTTATATTTTTGGTGAAAGGATAATACGTGACTTACCTGAAAGCTTCTGCCCGATTTCCTCTTGATCTTGATCCAAATCCTCGGATACCCTGAACCGCCTTTTTAGCAGAGCTATGAACTTTTGCTTTAAATTCTTTGCTGCAAGAATAAACACGAATTTATTGAACATTGAGTCAAAATTATGACAATTTTGATTTTGATAATAGTTAAATAATAGTCATTGCAAACTTGTGTTTCGAATAATACATATAAATTTCTTTTTTCTTATTATACATACTAATAAATTCTAATTTGATGGTGGATTATAACAGTAATGATTAAACCTTACTCCTGTCAATATATATAAAAAATATACATATATTATCTCGTGTTAAATTTTTCAAAATTCTTTTGTTCTTTATTTTAAGACAATAATGAAAATTATAATAAATAATATATATATGAGCTGCAATTTCTGAATTATAACATTTTCTAAACACTATGATTAAAAACTAGTTATCTTATCTTATCATTTATTTCTTATTGATTCATATTTTTACTAATCTCTCAAAGCTGATAATTATTAAAAAAAATATCATCTTCAAAAACAAATAGAATTAGAGGCTATCAATTAGCCAGTAAATAAAGTACTGCTATTGTACGTGATCTTTGCAACAATCAGGTATGAAAAGAAGCCACTCGATACAATAGACAGTTACACTTAGCAAAGCGGAACTAATTCCTTTCACATACCCTGGCATTCGTCGGAATCTTTCCCCGACTCTTCCGCCTGTGCATCTCGAGAGTCGGCTCGCTGTCACTGCCTTCCGCCTCGCCTTCTGAGCTGAACTCTTCCTCCTCGTCGCTATATTCGGGACAGAGCCTCTCATTCGGGTCGTTCAGTCTTTTGTCCTGGTCGACCGGCTGAGAGCTGAGAGCGACAACGCTCACGCGAGCCAATGCGACCGAATGTCCGCCATATTTCTCAGCCTTGTCCGACACCAGCTCCAACTCCAGGTCCATCTGCTTCTGGAGAACCTGTAAATACACGCAGGTGCAACAGAACGATGAGAAACGATTTGTTTCTTTCTTTTCTTTTTTTTGCAAAATGGTACGGTGTCGAATGGGTTTGGTTAAGGTGAACGAACTTCGTTCATGTAAATGATTAGGAAGTGAGGATGCTGCAGAAATGAAGATTGAACGATTGATCTCCTTAGAGTTGAAAGATAAATTTATGACTATAAATTTATTAGTGTTGAGTCATTAAATTAAAAAACTCTTCTGGTTATTTCTTCTGTTATTAATTTTTTAGAATATATTATTAAAAATATAAATACATAGATAAATAAATAATAAATAATTAAAAATTGGGAATAAACATTTTATTTCATTAAATGATAAATTATTCTTGTGAGTTAAGATTAATTAAGAAGATTAATCAAATGCGTACAAATAAAATTGTTTTTAATGCATTTTTATAAATTTTAATAATGTAACATATTAAATAAGAATATTAAATTAGACGCAAGTCTTCTTTCACTTAAAATATTCATTCCTATATAGTTCCTGTATGTCACAAGATATCCTGATTTAATCTAATGCATTGCACTTGCAAGCCAATCTCTGGAGATTCAAACGCAGGTACAATAATAATGTAATGCTATATATGTACATCTCAAATTAAACGGTAGCCTTGTAGTAATGAATTGGAAGCAATAAACCAATCAATTAATCATTACAATTTATACTATTCTGTCATCAATTTTGATTAATTATTATAATTAAATTTCTTATAATGAACTAAAAATATTTAACGTATTTATTCTTATTCAACAATTTTTATTTCTTCACTTATTTCTAATATAATTTATTCCAAATTATTCATTATTCACAGTATTTATTTTAACAAATTCATTGAATTGATTATATTTGGATAAAGAATATATATTTTCTCTCTAAAATAATTTAATTTTATTATAAAAACTGGAAAACTAATATCAGCACGAACTTTATATTGCATTAATACAAAAAATTATTATACTATGTACAGTATATACAATTTCTTGAATTTAACTAAAAGTTTTTATTGCACAATCATAAAAATATAATACATAAAAGAAAGTAAAAAATATAAAAAAAGTCATTATAAGTCATATTAATCAATATTATGATAACAGTTTTTTCTTTTTTACTATCATTAAATAATGCAATTCCATTGAATAATGTATAATTCAAATATAAACTTTTACATTTATTTTCAAATTTTAAATGAAAGATTCTTGAATTTCACTAAACTGAAAGACAAATTTCACGAATTCTTTTTTTCTCTCCGTTATCACCTCATCCATCTCCTCACCAAACAAGTAAAATCCGACAGGATTCACCGCTGTGAGACTAACGATTAGAGTAAATGTCAAGATCAACGACTAAATTGAGCGTTAACGCTGCATAATCTGGTTTTAATCCTCATTTGCCAAGAGGAAGTACATCCTTACCCTATATCGAACAGTATGCTAGTAAAATCGATCCACTTACCTGAGCCATATTGATCACTCCCTCAGCTAGAGTCTTGTATCCGAGCATCGTGCGATTTTTATAGCGTTTTCTCCTCTGAAGCTGTATCAGCAGTTTGTTGCCGTCCCTCTTGAGGAAATGTGGATACTGAAGAGCGAATTGGAGCTCGAGTTCAGTGTCCAGCATGCCACCGCTGGGGATGGCCATCTCATTCGAACGTAGAGTTCTCTTCGAGCTCTGCATCTTCACCGCGATGCTGATCGAGGTTAAATCAGAGCCTAATGGCCGTAAAATCACCAGACGGGTCAGGGTCAAGGAGCACAGCCTGAAGAAAATTTCAAAGATATTTTTATTTTTTTGATTTGTATAATACGTACGTTATCGATATATACGCTTCTTTGAAACTGTGTTTTTTAAACATATCAATTGTATAATTTTCGAGACAAAAGTGCAATGTGTAGTTTTATACAATACAGAAATAGATTTCTCATATGAAAATTATTTATAGAACAGATAAGGAAAATTTAATCAATGATGAATGTCTTGAGTTGAAAGATTAACATTACAAGAAAATTAGAAGTTCTATTGAATTTTATGTATTTTTATCTTTTCTGCATAAGAAATATCAAAGTTTAGATAATTATATCTTTATGCGGCAATTAATTATTGCAAGCCATAAATGATGAAACTTACTTCTATTATCTTAATGATTAATTTTTATTAACGCTTTTAAAATAGATATAACATCATTATTTAATAAATATTTAAATAAAGTTAAAAATTTTAAAAATATAAATATATCTTTTGAATCGGCAATTATTTATTTAATATCAGTAATTTCATGCACGTTTTTCTTCATTTTTATCATTTTATTTACTTTTTATTATTTTTAACATCGTGTTTTTATTCAAATTTGATTGTACATGCTATATAAGTAAATTTTTAAATTGTAAATTGCTATTATTTGACGCGAATACTCGTATAAATTTTGCTTATTATGAATATTATTAATATTCATTTTATGTGATAAAAATCATAAAAAAATCTTCATTATTATAATAAGAAATAAGGATACAAAATAATATTAAATACTCCAAAATGAAATAATTCAAACTTACAATTGTAGTGATTAATCATTCAGCGATACAATAAACAAAGAGAGGGAATGAATCATCAGAATTTATCGGCTAACAAAGACATTCATCATGACGACAATGAGTCAAATCAGCAATACTTTATTGGAATATCGCATTGGACAAGGTTTTGACGCTATTTGACAAGATTTACGGCGATTGTCGGTGCTCGTTTTGAAGTGTTACAAGTGGACGTTTTATTGCCATTGGTAATCGAGGTCGTGCAGGATATTTAGAATGATTGATGCAAATTGTGAGATTTGAACAGAAAATGTAGGAAAAGAGGTTCTTTGTGAAACGAAAGTTTCACTGAACTTGTTCCTCTTTGCGACCGCGGGAACACACGAAATAATTGAAGTGTAAGATTTTAGTGAGACATTATTATCGCAGCAGTAAGTATATGAGCGGGAGTTTTTATTTGACTTGGAAAAATATTATAAATTATTAAAAATTAAAAAGTTGCAGCCAATTGTAATTTTTCGGTTAAAAAATATTAAAGTTTCTACATTTTCTAATTTAATTTTTTACCGAACTTGTTAGTTCAGAAATAAATTACCCACAATTTATTTATACTATATTACTTGTAAAGCATATATCATATTATAATCAACCAGGGTTAATACCATAAGTAAATTCTTAATTTTAATTTTAATTTATTTTAATTTGCAAGAATATTTATATTAAAAGTTTTTTTGAGCTTCAAATAAAAATTATTTTCTCAAATAAAATTGCAGATATTTTATATCATTGAACGTATCTTCATATTGTGTAGAATTTAATTTTGCCAAATGAAATTTTTGTCAATCTCCTATCGTTTTAAAGAAATAGCTTGACCCAGTTATGTGAAACACCTCGTATACTGCGCAACTCCATTTATCTGAATCCGCCAGGGAACAAAGAGTAACACATAACATTGGAGTTCACATAACAAGAATTAACTGACTCTTCTAACCTTTGATTTCTCGTTTAACCTTTTCAGAGACAAATTTAAGATCTTCTAAAACGAAGGAAATGAAAAAATAAACATTTCTTTCAAAACCATTCTTTCGAAACCACATAATATTTCGAATTCGAATTTTTCGAATCTGAAAAAAAATTAAATTTTAACTTATCTCTATCAATTATCTCTATCACGTCATGAAATTTCCTCAAAATAAAAAATATTCAGTATCAATAAACGTATCCTGTTTCGATACATTTAAAATGAAGTTTAATCCAGCTGCCAAAATAAAACACTCTAACAATAAAAATATTTACTCGCATTTTATTTTCTTTCTCAACTTTCATCCATTTTATTTCCACAATTGCTCAAAACCTCAATCGGTCGTCCGATGGTCGAAAATTTATCGACAATTCCAAACCACACACAGATAATTTGGTGGTGGAACGAAAGTTCGTCCAAAATTTCGCTTCTGCTTTTCAGAAACAAGGACGTTCCGTTTCTGAAACAAGGTCGAATCGAAACTCAAAGCAAAAATGGTGGCGCACAATGGTATCGATCACACTGTACGTAGACAACGATAATAATCATGTCCGTTTAAAGACGTCACCGCGTGTTACCGTGCACTATGAAATATGGATCCAACGTATATACAGGCGAGCCTACATCGTATCCTTGCGGTATCTTCGTCATCAAAGACACGTTAGTCGTTACCCTTTGACACGAGCACGCCAGAGAACCGCGTTTTAATCGCTTTTACTGCCGAGAATCAGGTTAAAGCAAAAACGTTCGCGTTAACGAGAGCAATGTTTCGATTAGGACAAACGAGAAGTTGTGAGTCCTTGGATGGAATATTCTTGATAAAAGACGCATTGAATTGTGCTGTCTATCAATTCGTATCAGTTAAATTAAATTGAAAGTGACTATTAATAGATATATAATATGATTTAAATTACATGTATAAGGATTTTTTTTATAAATTATTTTATGAATGAAATTTTTTAACAATTATACATATATACGATATAATGTGTCTTACATTTTAATAAATTTAATAACGAAATTTTAATTACAATATCGTGAAATTTATAAAATTTAGACGAGTCATTTTTATAGATGATACTATATAATACAATAATATAAATATTATTTTGTTATTATTTGTATATTTATAAAATCTTTTTTAAGAATTTGATAATAATTCCAAATAAAATAATTAATATAACATTTTCCCATTAAAAGTACACATAGATTTCTTTTTATATTCAAAAAATTTGTAAAACGCAGTAAAATGAAATATTCGTGGTATAAAACGACGATTAGTGTGCAGTTCACGAAGGAACTTACTTAGATAATGTATGCATACATAAAATGGAAAAGTTTAAAATAGTATCATTTACTCGAACGTAATAGTTACAGTTATAGCTGAAAACTACCGGTGTTCAATCGATATTCCATTTCTTGGCTTACCATTTGCAATTCTTTGCTATTTTTCCTCGTATTATGCGAACACTTGATCTCTTCGTTCCTTCCATAATTCTGCAAATCAACAGCACTTCAAAATTTTATTTTTCTCTTATGTTTTCACAATATGGGATTATACCGAATAATTCCGGTTAAAAATGATGAACAATAATCTGGATATTTATCAAAATAATGAAAAATTCATCACTTATAAAAATATACGATAAAACTCACGATTTATCTTTCTAAAAAAGCATCATCCGAAAAAATAGATCCAAGTATAAACTTTAATAAAGTAATCCACTAACTCTATATTAAAATAAGAAACATCCAAAAAAAAAAAAATTTGTTTTAAAACCAAAGTCGCATCACTTTTTATCTTGCGTATCTTGTATTACAATAATTTATTAATATATACAATTTACATTTAATCCGAATCGAATTTCATCTTCACTATTCCTATTCACCCACAACACAAGAAACATTTATTTCTTCTCACAATTTCATCAATCTCACACGATTCAAAACAAAACCACCTCTCAACACCTCTCGATATTCTTTATTCCCCGAAAATATGTATAAAACGAAAAATAACAATCGAAAACACGGTTAAATCTTCCGCACGATATTTCAAATCGAACGCAACAACCTTAGCCGACTCGATTAGCCGCAGCTGACTGTGCAAACGACGAAAACCATAGGAAACGGGAGCGGGGATTCTCGAGGAACCCCTTTGCTACACGCGAGGGAGGAAGGTAGTTATTTTTATTTATGGAAAGCTTCCCTCCACGGTTCGGGGGCGAACGCGCTAACTATAGATCCACGGTTTATAACTACAGGTGGTGTTTCAGTTTCTCTTTACGTCTTCGCCTAGCACAACCACTATGCACAAGCATGATTGTTGGTGAGCTGGACAGAGACATTGCGAACGATTTCTTCTTTTTCTCTTTTTTTTCTTTTTTACCTATCGACCAATCACGAATCGACGGGGGTGGAATAAATAGAAAGCAGACGTGGAACAGGAATGACTGATGCGTGGAGAAGATCGATAAAGGAATGGCAATATTGAAGGTAAGAAGATAAAACGATTGGAAAAAGGAAAAATTCCGTTCAATCGATGATATCCCTATTAAATTTTTATTTAATTATTTTATCCATTATAGTTTTTGAGATATGCGTATAGGATATGTAAAAAGTGAAAAAAGAATATTGTTATATTTTTTATTTTAATTTTTATAAATTATTGCAAATCTTTTGAATTTTTGAAGAACATAAATCAACATTTTTAAAAAACTATTGTGAATTGCTGGTAATATTTTACAATTTTTTATTCTCTCCTATTGTGAGAGATAAGAAAGCGTTGAATAAAAGAGAAATGTGAAGATTGAAGAAATAGATACGGTACTAAGGGACGTGGATATAATAAAGTGATGTCGAAATGAAATCGTTTGCTGTACTTTTTTCCCCCCTCCTTTTGAAATATTGTACGATAAAATATTACGAACAAATTGTTGATGATGAGAGATCTTACTTTCAAGATATTTAATTTTGAAACATGAAACTAACTTACGAAGAAAGTAATACGTGTAATTTATAAGTTCTTTGTTTTTAATAGAAATTGTTGAAAATACAGAAAATATGTATGTAAATAAAATATAAATTATACTCTCTATTAATTTTAATTAATAGAAATCATCGCATCTAAAAATAATTAATCCCAAATTTAATTAAGGATTTTTACCGCCCATATCGAAATCTAATTTCGAAAGGTCAAAAGTTTGCACAGAA